AGAAACAGAGTCGCAACTTAAACTCAGGTCCACTGACATCAAAACCAGAACTCTTTTTACTTAACCACACCATAGTCCACCTCTGAGGGAGGCATCATGACCCAGGATATTTCCACAAGGCAGCTATTACCATAGCATCCCACAGTTCCAAGGGTTTCAGAGGGTAACAATAGTAATAGTAATAATAATAATAATAATAATAATAATAATAATAATAATAATAATAATAATAATATTTATATAGCACTTTCAAGTTTGCTAAGCACATTACAAATATTATCTCATCCAATCCTCACGACCTGGGATATAGGTTTTATTATCCTCATTTTAGAGTTGAGGAAACTGAAGCGAAGAGAGATTAAATGACGTTCTCACAACTAGTAAGTTTCTAGGGCTGGATTTGAATTCAAGCCTTCCTCAGTCCTGGACCAGCCTTTTGTCCACTGGTCTCCACTAATTCCTGAAGCATCATGTAGGGACCCTGTCTCATCCACTGATGGAAAGAAATAGGACTGGATCACCTCCAAGTTTTTTTTTTTTATAGCTTTCAATCCATGACCTTCTGGTCACTACCACAAGTGAATAGAAACATACGGGATGCCAGGCCTTCTTGGATGCTTTTCTTTCTCTATGATCTATCATGAGCAAATGAGCAGTAAATAATTTTAAATCACAGTTTAATAGATTTTTAAAGATTTACTGATCATTTTTCTTGGCCAGATTTCTAGGAGTTAAATCTTAGAAGTATGATTTCCCTCCTTCTCAAGATGAGGACATTGAGGCACACCATTAAAGGGCCTCACTTCAAGTCCCCATTACTAAATATCAGAGTCAGGATTCAAGCCAGGGCTGCTCTTCCTCTGAGTGCATGGTTTGGGATGTGGACTGGAGACACTTTGCTGCCTCTCTCCAGTGTCAAAAGACAAATATATTTGTAAATGAACCATATCATGCAGATTCCACAAATCTCCGGGTTGGAAGGAATCTCAGATCACATTTAGTCCAAGCTGGACTTGAACAACAATTCCATCTCAAATAAAGGAGACCACCCTGAGCTTGGAGACCTCCAAAGAGGGCTAGTCTACCACCTCCTGATTCCCATTCCATTTGGCGACAGCTCTAGTTGCCAGGAAGAGCACATGTTGGGTGGGGGATGAAGGGGAGGTAGGTGTGTGTATGTCTTTATTTGAATTCTTTCTCATTATACAAGAATAAATATACTTGTTTATTTGTAACTCCCACTCATTGTTCCAAATTTTGCCCTTTGGGGCCAATCAGAAAAAAAGAAAAAGTCCAATTCTCCTCCACTTGACACACCTTCAAATACTTGAAGACAATTAATATAAATAAGCCTTCTCTTCTGTACTATAAAATCTCCCAGTTCTCTCAAGTGATCCTGATATGACATGGATTTAGTTCCTGATTCATCCTAGTTGACCTCCTTTGGCCACCATCAAAAGCATTCATTTGCTTCTTTAATGGTGCCCCCAGACCAACAACATTGTATGGTGGCTAGAATGCTGGGTTGGTGTTCATCAGTGCTAGGGTTCACTTTCTGCAATGTATGTTTCCTAGCTGTGCAGCTCTTGGGAACACACTTTTCTCAGCCACTCACCTTTACTTAATGTGGAAAATGAGGATGATAATGGCATCCATCGTATCTCATCAACCTTATAGTGCTTCATAGATTCTGAAAAGTGGTGGGGGATAGTGAGTGAAGCACTGGATTTTCCATTAGAAAAATGCTGTGTCAATTTTTGCTCAGACTTGATTAGCTTTGGGAGCATGGGTATTTTGTAACTTCTCTTCTCCTTTCATCCTAGTCTAGTCCACTTGTCCTAATTTGCCTTCTTTGTCCTCTTGTCCTAGTCTAGTCTTTGCATCTATAAAATAAGCATAATTACATTTCACTGTATGGACACAAAGTCATAGGAACTTCCGTTCCCCATAGGAGAGAGACAGAGACAGAGACAGAGAGAGACAGAGAGACAGAGACAGACAGAGATGGAAAGACAGAGGGAGAGAGGCAGAAAGAAGAAGAAGAAGAAGAAGAAGAAGAAGAAGAAGAAGAAGAAGAAGATGGAGGAGGAAGAAGAGGAGGAGGAGGAGAAGATGGAGAAGAAGAAGAAGAAGAAGAAAGGAAAAGAGAGGACAAGTTTGTGATAGTATTTCTCAGTCAATAACCATTTAATAAGTTCTTATTAAATGCCAGTCACTATACTAATAACTGAGCATATAAAGGAATGTTTTTAAACTGACATCAGTTATATTATATTTTATTTGAGGAGACACCAAGGACATTCAAAACATATGCAGGATAATTGGTAAGGTAATCTTAAAGGCGAAAACATCTAGGGAATCATCAAAGGCTTCCTTATGAAGGTGACAACTGAGCTTAATCTTGAAAGGAGTCAGAAAAAACAAGTGACAGAGTTGAGAAGCAAGAGCATTCCAGGGGTGAACACAGTGAAAGCCTATGGAGTTGGGAAGTTAGATGTAATCGACTTGTTGAGGATGACATTGAAGTTTGAAGCTTGAGTGACTGGAGTGGTGGTGGTGATACCATTGACAGTAGTTAGGAGGACCGGAAGAGGGAAGGATTGGGGAGGGGGGGGAGGGGGAGGGAAATGAGTTCTAATTAGACTCCTTGAGTTTCAGATGACTACAGAAAATCCAGTTCAAGATGTCTAAAATGAAGGTGTTAGTATAAGAATGGAGCGCAGGGAAACATTGAAGCTGGATTCACAGATATATAGATTACCTGCATAGAGATGCTAATTAAACCCATGGTTCAATCACTTAAGGGGATCATCAAGCAAGAATAAAGGGAAAAAAGAAAGTGACCCAGGACAGAGCCTTGGGATGGGGGAGGAGACAACCATGGTGAGTAGGCATAGAGGAAAAGCCAACAAAGAACAAGAAGGTGTGGTCAGACAGGTGGGAGGAGAACCAAAAAACTGAAGAAGAGCGAATATTCTGGAAGAGATGGTGATACAACATCAGGGGAGGTCCAGAAGGAAGAAGATTGAGGAAAGATCCACAGATTTGGAAATTTAGAGGTTATTATAGATATCATTAGGAACTTTGGAGGGAGGGGTTTCAATTAAATTATAGGGTCACAACCCAAATTAGGGGTGGTTTAGAAATGAATAAAAGGAAAGGAAATGGAGGGGCCAAATGTAGACAGATTTTTCAAGGAGTTTATCTGAGAAGGAAGGAGAAATAAAAGACTGTAGTTGACAGGGGTGGTTGAATCAAATGAGGTGGTTTTTTTTTCTTGTTTTTGTTTTTATCAGCTGGGGAGATATGATCATGCTCTTATGCTGCAGGGAGGGAGTTGGCAAAGAGGGAGAGATTGGATATTAAAAGGAAATTAGGAGTGGTGAAGGGTGACCATGCACTGGAAAAGAAGGGAGGGCTTGCAGCTTTGCTACATTCCACTGAGGAAGTCAACTTTGAATTGGATGAGATCTTCTCCCCATTAATAAACAGAGAACTCCTTCTTTGATCCATTATACTTAACTCACTCACAGGGACAAGACTCTGAAAAAAAGAGAAGCCACTTCTAATCACAATTCAAAAAAATTCTTCAACACAGGCTATTATTGTTGTTGTTGTCATTGTTCTTTCATTCCTGAAAAGGACAGTGTCCCTATGTCCTGTGTCCTCTGTCCCTGTGTGCTGTGCCCCATGTCCTGTGCCCCTATGTCCTGTGTCTCTATGTCCTGTGTCTTGTGCCCCATATCATGAGGGTGAGGTCTTGTGAATGCATGCATGCATGAACAAATGAATGAATGAATGAAAAAATCTATCAACTGTCCATGACATTCTATGCTATGATCTGGGGATATAAAAACACAATCAAAAATGGTCCTTGCCCTCAAGGAGCTTAGATTCATTCTATCAGGAAGGACTACATGGATGAGGAAGTTGTTACCAGGGGAAGACATCTTGGTGTGAGAAGTCCCAGGAATGGTGAATTGAATCATATGGCACTGAATTGATAAAGCCTTTCCAGGAAAGACATTGTCTAAGTATCATTTCTAGAACTGTAAATAGAAAGAGGGAAGGGGAATCCACACAGCAGGACAGTAGGAAAATAACAGGATTCCAGCACAAGTCATCTGGCTTGGGGTAGAGATGTTGGGCAACTGATCAGGAGAGCAGTGGGAGAAACTCCATTTGTATATGAAGACATGTTCAAAATGGAGAAGATAGAAATGCAATAGAATCACTTAAGGTGCCAAAGATAATAAAACTTTGATATGGTAGTGAGTAGAGTGTTGGTTTGGAAGTCAGATTTGAGTGAGGGAAGGCTGTGCAAAGCCACAGAAAAACAGGTTTCAGAGAGTCTGGGGTCAGCTGTTCCCTCCCTATATGATGCCCCTCCCCCTCACTGACCTTGTTTCCCTTTCTGTTAAATGAGTGGGTTGGGTTAACCTAGATAATCTACAAGAACTCCCCCAGCTCTATGTCCTGTGACCCTATGTCCTGTGTCCCTATGTCCTGTACCCCTATGTCCTGTGTCCCTATGTCCTGTGCCCCTATGACCTGTGTCCCTATGTCCTCTGTCTCTCTGTCCTCTGTCCCTATGTCTTGTGTCCCTATGTCCTGTGTCCTGTGTCCCCGTGTCCTCTGTCCCTGTGTGCTGTGCCCCATGTCCTGGGCCCCTATGTCCTGTGTCTCTATGTCCTGTGTCCCTGTGTCCTGTGTCCATGGGTGCTGAGTCCCTATATACTGTGTCCCTATGTCCCGTGTCCCTGTATACTGTGTCCCTATTTCCTGTGTCTCTATGTCCTGTGTCCCTATGTCCTGTGTCCCTATGTCCTGTACCCCTATGACCTGTGTCCCTATGTCCTCTGTCTCTCTGTCCTCTGTCCCTATGTCTTGTGTCCCTATGTCCTGTGTCCTGTGTCCCCGTGTCCTCTGTCCCTGTGTGCTGTGCCCCATGTCCTGGGCCCCTATGTCTTGTGTCTCTATGTCCTGTGTCTTGTGCCCCTATGTCCTGTATCCCTATGTCCTGTGCCCCCATGTCCTGTGCCCCTATGTCCTGTGTCTCTATGTCCTGTGTCTCTATGTCCTGTGTCCCTGTGTCCTGTGTCCATGGGTCCTGTGTCCCTATATACTGTGTCCCTATGTCCCGTGTCCCTGTATACTGTGTCCCTATTTCCTGTGTCTCTATGTCCTGTGTCCCTATGTCCTGTGTCCCTATGTCCTGTACCCCTATGACCTGTGTCCCTATGTCCTCTGTCTCTCTGTCCTCTGTCCCTATGTCTTGTGTCCCTATGTCCTGTGTCCTGTGTCCCCGTGTCCTCTGTCCCTGTGTGCTGTGCCCCATGTCCTGGGCCCCTATGTCCTGTGTCTCTATGTCCTGTGTCTTGTGCCCCTATGTCCTGTATCCCTATGTCCTGTGCCCCCATGTCCTGTGCCCCTATGTCCTGTGTCTCTATGTCCTGTGTCTCTATGTCCTGTGTCCCTGTGTCCTGTGTCCATGGGTCCTGTGTCCCTATATACTGTGTCCCTATGTCCCGTGTCCCTGTATACTGTGTCCCTATGTCCTGTGTTCCTATTTCCTGTGTCTCTATGTCCTGTGTCCCTATGTCCTGTGTCCCTATGTCCTGTGCCCCTATGACCTGTGTCCCTATGTCCTCTGTCTCTCTGTCCTCTGTCCCTATGTCCTGTGACCTCTGTCCCTGTGTGCTGTGCCCCATGTCCTGTGACCCTATGTCCTGTGTCTCTATGTCCTGTGTCTTGTGCCCCTATGTCCCATGTCCCTATGTCCTGTATCCCTATGTCCTGTGCCCCATGTCCTGTGTCTCTATGTCCTGTGTCCCTGTGTCCTGTGTCCATGGGTCCTGTGTCCCTATAACTGTGTCCCTATGTCCCGTGTCCCTGTATACTGTGTCCCTATTTCCTGTGTCTCTATGTCCTGTGTCCCTATGTCCTGTGTCCCTATGTCCTGTACCCCTATGACCTGTGTCCCTATGTCCTCTGTCTCTCTGTCCTCTGTCCCTATGTCTTGTGTCCCTATGTCCTGTGTCCTGTGTCCCCGTGTCCTCTGTCCCTGTGTGCTGTGCCCCATGTCCTGGGCCCCTATGTCCTGTGTCTCTATGTCCTGTGTCTTGTGCCCCTATGTCCTGTATCCCTATGTCCTGTGCCCCCATGTCCTGTGCCCCTATGTCCTGTGTCTCTATGTCCTGTGTCTCTATGTCCTGTGTCCCTGTGTCCTGTGTCCATGGGTCCTGTGTCCCTATATACTGTGTCCCTATGTCCCGTGTCCCTGTATACTGTGTCCCTATGTCCTGTGTTCCTATTTCCTGTGTCTCTATGTCCTGTGTCCCTATGTCCTGTGTCCCTATGTCCTGTGCCCCTATGACCTGTGTCCCTATGTCCTCTGTCTCTCTGTCCTCTGTCCCTATGTCTTGTGTCCCTATGTCCTGTGTCCTCTGTCCCTGTGTGCTGTGCCCCATGTCCTGTGACCCTATGTCCTGTGTCTCTATGTCCTGTGTCTTGTGCCCCTATGTCCCATGTCCCTATGTCCTGTATCCCTATGTCCTGTGCCCCTATGTCCTGTGTCTCTATGTCCTGTGTCCCTGTGTCCTGTGTCCATGGGTCCTGTGTCCCTATAACTGTGTCCCTATGTCCCGTGTCCCTATATACTGTGTCCCTATGTCCTGTGTCTCTATGTCCTGTGTCCCTATGTCCTGTGCCCCTATGACCTGTGTCCCTATGTCCTCTGTCTCTCTGTCCTCTGTCCCTATGTCTTGTGTCCCTATGTCCTGTGTCCCTGTGTCCTCTGTCCCTGTGTGCTGTGCCCCATGTCCTGTGCCTCTATGTCCTGTGTCTTGTGCCCCTATGTCCTGTATCCCTATGTCCTGTGCTCCTATGTCCTGTGCCCCTATGTCCTGTGCCCCTATGTCCTGTGTCCCTATGTCCTGTGTCCCTGTGTCCTGTGTCCATGTGTCCTGTGCCCCTATGTCCTCTGTCTCTCTGTCCTCTGTCCCTATGTCTTGTGTCCCTATGTCCTGTGTCCTGTGTCCCTGTGTCCTCTGTCCCTGTGTGCTGTGCCCCATGTCCTGTGCCCCTATGTCCTGTGTCTCTATGTCCTGTGTCTTGTGCCCCTATGTCCTGTACCCCTATGTCCTGTGCCCCTATGTCCTGTGCCCCTATGTCCTGTGTCTCTATGTCCTGTGTCTCTATGTCCTGTGTCCATGGGTCCTGTGTCCCTATATACTCTGTCCCTATGTCCCGTGTCCCTGTATACTGTGTCCCTATGTCCTGTGTCCCTATTTCCTGTGTCTCTATGTCCTGTGTCCCTATGTCCTGTATCCCTATGTCTTGTGCCCCTATGCCCTCTGTCCCTATGTCATGTGCCCCTATGACCTGTTTCCCTATGTCCTGTGTCCCTATGTCCTGTGCCCCTATGTCCTGTGTGACCCTAGGGAAATCAATGAAAATATTTCTGGGCCTCGTTTTCATCATCTACAAAATGGCCTCTCACATCCCTTCTGCCTTAAAATCTGTGCATCCTATGTTCCTTCAAGAGAGTCTAAGAAGCTTCCAGGATTGAATAAGAAGCTTGAGTTCTTTTAAATACAAAATTTAAATGTTTGATAAAGAGAACTTCACTTGCTGAATTTCATTTTCTTCCTTGTGTGTGTCTGAGTACAAGCAGTGTGTTCATTGCACATGGGGACACATACACTGTCTCAGCTCAGCCTAAAGGCTGTTACTATTTTCAGAATAGAGGATTGTGCAACATTTTTGCTTGGCAAAAATAATTTCAACACGAGGCATTAGAATTTCAAGTTGACTTTTTTCAGCATTTTTTTCCTAGAACATTTTAGCATTAATAGAAATAATGTACATTTCTCTTCCACTTTCAGGTTTATCAAACATTTGACTTATAATAGAACTGTGAGATAGACTGATACCAGTATTATATGCCCATTTAAGAGATGGGGAAATTAAGGGTCAGAGAAAAATAATTTGCCCAGTTGCAAAGTCAGTGGCAAGTCAGAGATTGGAACTCAACTGAATCCAACTTCCAAAACAATTAAGTACCTACTATGTTCAAGGAGCTATTGCTGTGGGCCAGAGGCAGAGCAAAAATGAGGACAGGCCATGCCCCGAAGGAGTTCACATTATACTGACTCTACATTCAATGTTCCTTATGTTGTGACCTGCTGCCTCCAGCTGGAACAATTCCAGACAATCTGGATAAGCTGAGTTTCAATACTGTCTTAGTCTATAACATTCAACTGACTAAAGTTGAAATTCTGACTAGACTTCTTGGGTTATATTCTTTGTATTCTGATGGGTAAACCTGTTGGTTTAAAAACATAAGGTTTTCTTGTGACTGTTTAGTTATACTTTAGGGTCCACTAAAGACCCCAGGACGTTATCATAAGAGATATTGTCTAGCCTTGCTCCTCACATTCTATAATTGTGTATTTGATTTTTTAACTTATTAGCATTTTACATTAATTCCTTTAAATTTCATTTTAGTAGGTTTTAAAACAGCATCATGTTGCCTGCTAGAGTCAGGCAATATATGTAAATGTCATTGCAAAACCCAAGGTACCACACAAATGTCTAGGATGATTATGATGATGTTTGGAGTGCTGATTTCACTAGTATGGGGAAATTCTTATGGCAAAACACCCTTAACTAATGTAGATGAATATCTTCTCAGCAATTTATGATCTTAGAAGTTATCCTGGGACACGAATAGGTGAAGGGACTTTTCCAAGGTTAGACAGTTTAGTATGTGTCCAAGGCAGGAATTGTACTCAAGGCTTCCCAATTTCCATACAGTCTCCTTATCCATTATGATACATTGTGCTTCAATAACTAGACATACAAATAGATAAAGGTAGATAGAAAGACTGACAAAAATGCAGATAGATTGAGAGAGAAAGAGGAGAGACAGATGGAGAGAAACAGAGAGAGACAAGAGACAGAGAGGGAGAGAGAGAAAGAGAGAAGGTTTTATTTGTTTGTTTTAACCAGATACATAATTACATATTTGCAGGGAGGTCTCCAGTGAGGAAATTCCTTCTAGAACAACAGCTACCAGGGCCACTTAACAATATTACTCCCCATTAGTAGAACCTGAAGGCAGAACTCTCTGATTCCAGTTGGCTCTCTCTCTCTCTCTCTCTCTCTCTCTCTCTCTCTCTCTCTCTCTCTCTCTCTCTCTCTCTCTCTCTCTCTCTCTCTCTCTCTCTTTCTCTCTCTCTTTCTCTCCCCTATTATCTACTACTATTTCAACCTCATACAATTGCCTGGGAGTTCATTCTATGATTTGTAAGAGACAAAAAGAACTGCATCTTATCTGTGGGGCTATCTCTACATATTCTTGTGATTTTGTGCATCTAGGACAAGTGTGAACCCTCAATTCTTGTCCATTCTACATGGAATGTTGGTTGGCCTGACATCTGCCTGTGATTACTTCTGTTCTGGGTCACCAAAATGGATTAGAACTGTGCTTCTGTCTCCTGTTGGAGTATCTGATGGCTCATCTTAGGCTTAGCAGCTACAAAACACATCTCTGGGTATGTTGGTCAAAGAACTAGAAAGTTGAGTGATAAGAGAGTTTCTCCTCCTCCTCCTTCTTTTCCTCCTCCTCTTCCTTCTCCTTTTTGTCCTCCTCCTCCTCCTCCTCCTTCTTCTTCTTATTCTCCTAGTAGGATATGTCACATGGAGGACAACTAGTGAAAAGATACCGAGATGGTAAATGAAATACTATGAATGAAGAATATTAAGAACATGAGATTAATCTATACAATGTGTGAAAGGGTATAATGTGGAATACAGCTGGAAAGGTAGGTTAGTACCAGATGGCACAGGTCTTTAAATGTCAGAGAGTTTATTTTTGTTCCTAGAGTCAATAGAAAACCATTGGAGATTATTGATTAGAGAAGTGACATGGGCAAAATTGTGCTTGAGAAAAATCATTTTGGCAGCTGTGTTTAAGGGTGAATTGGAGAAGGGTGAGAACTGAGACCAATTAAGAGGCCTTTGCATGAGTGTGAGTAAAAAAGGCTGAGGGCCTGTACCATAGTGGTAGCTCTGGGAGTGGAGAAAGGGGATGTGAGAGATATTCTGAGAATACATATGAAAAGATTTGTCGAATAATTTGGACATGCAGGGTGAAGGAGGGTGAATAACCAAGAAGGATTCCTAGGTTACAAACCTGGGAAAATAGAAGCTTGATGGTGCCTTTACCAGAAGATTTAGAAAAGAGGAGAAGTTAGACGGAATGAGAATGAGTTAAGTTGTGACCATGTTGAATATGCAATTTTTCCAGTTCAAGATTTCCAAAAAGCAATTGATGATGTAGGACTATCAGTCAGGGGAAAGTTTGGGGCTATATTTGGGAGGTATCCATATAGAGATAATAATTAAAACATGAGAACAGATGAAGATGCCATATGAGAAAGTTGACAGAAAAAAGTGGAGGTGGGTAGAGGGGCAGGTTTATCCCTGGGGTAAACCCACACATGCTTAAGTTGCATGGTGTGGGTGACCATCTAGACTTGGAGCTTGAGAAGGGATGGATAGATAGATAGATAGATAGATATAGATGTATATGTATATATGTGTATGTATATGTAGATATATTTTATGTGTGTATATAAACATATATTTGTATGCCTGTATATGTGCGTGTATGTATTTATGTATGTACAGTTTCACTTTAGTGATGAGGTTCCCCACCCCTGGGTTAGAAGATACTAGAAAAATGAATGAAACGAGAGGAAGTGGAGACTGAGTTTAGACAGATTTTACAAGGAGTTTGGCCTAGAAGGTGGAGAGTTGATAGCCTGAGATTATATGGTCTGGCAAAGGTTTGGGGGATTGTGTGTGTGTGTGTGTGTGTGTGTGTGTGTGTGTGTGTGTGTGTGATTTGTATGTTTTGCTTGTTTTTAATTTTAGAGTGGGCAATGATGGGCATGGCTGAAGGTAGGAGGGAAGGAATCAGCAGAAGAGGAGAGAGTGAATATTAGAGAATGAGGAGATTACTAAGGGGCTAGCCTGCTGTGTGGGACACTAAGGGAGGGAATCAAAGACAAATGGTTTTTCCAAGACTGGATAAAGCATTAAAGAGCTAGAGAATCAGGTTGTGGATTTGAGAGATGGGGTACTCCTTGATACTGAATACTCATAGACTAATGCGCCAGTAAACTGTCCTCAGATGAATTTTTATTATGGTTTATCATGTCAAAAGGTTCCTGTGTGGAGTGAGACAATTCGGTAAATCAAATCAGTCCCTTTCCCTAACGCAGTCTGAGAAGTGATGTGTCTAATGGCCCCAGGAAGGGAGTCATGCATGGAAGTGAGTGCGTAGGCCAAGTTGGAAGCTGCCTCCATAAATGTGTCTGAAAGCACTTTGCAAAGTTATAAAGTTGAACAAGTCATGGAGCCCAAGCCCATTAATTACCATTCAGGAAAGCAGCAGAGCATAAAGAAAGCGTTTATTGTGAGAGGTAATACCCCAGGCAGTGTTTCCCACTCTTCTGGGTGGCCGCCATATTTCCGAGGGGCTTCCGTGGTCCTAGACGAGGCTGGGAGGGAGAGAGCCATAGGGTCTTGGGAAACAGGGCAGGGACTCAAAATTAGAAACCGAATGAGGTATTTGTAAGAAAAGGGAGCTGTATCTGGCACTTATATGGGGTGCAAAAACACAGTAATTTAAGAGGGGAAATAGAAGATTGTGTGAAACATGCTGGCTGGGGAGGGGGAGAAAAGGCAACATTGAATAGAAGTGCATGAAATCTGATCATATGCCAAAAGAGTCCTGGGTGGGCAGAAATTCTGGGAAGTCCATTTTAAAGAGAAACTAGGGAGAGGGAAATAATTGGAAAAAATTATCCCCATGTCTCTAGAGCCTCCCTCCTATCCAGGTCTGTTTGTTGGGACTTTGGTTTTCAAATAATAGCTGCTTAGATTTCAGATTTGCAAAGCATTCCAAATCCATTCCCTGCTTTGGTCCTCATAAAGAAGTGAATGTTGGGATTACTATACCATTTTACAAAGGTACATCTGGAGAAAGTAAAGCAAAATTTTAGAGGTAGTCAATGGGAGAGCCTGGACCCAAGTCTGGGTTTCTGTAGACCGAACAGCATCCACTGGGCATTCCCTGGGTTATCCAGATCACTTGCCCATTTGGGCTGATTGGGCCAAGAGGCCCTTTGCATTCACAGTCTCGAGGCCTTGAAATGATCCGTCTATTGGTGAGCAACAAAAACAATGATAAAACCAATGGTGCCCAGATCACTTTCCTTTTTGAAACACCCTGAAACAGAGGAAGGACCAATATCATTGTTCCAAGTGGGAAAACAAACAAACAAACAAAAAACGAGTAAGGTTTAACACTAGGATTGGTTTGTTTTCTATCGTCCTTCTTTTCTATTCTAACAAGTAGTTGTGTCTCTTTGTTAGCCACTGACCAATCACTCCATAAGCATTTATTCATCACCCTCTGTGTTGGAGGCACTGTGCTGAGCACCTGGCATGCCATGACAACCAAGAACCAGCCCTTGCCTTCAGAAGTTTTAAAGGGACAGAAAATATATGCATGTGTGTGT